TATATATATATATATATATATATATATATATGTGTGTGTGTGTGTGTGTGTGTAGTTTCTATATTTTCTTTTATCTCTCTTCACATGTAATTCCATCCATCTTTTTAAAGATCAAAGTGATAAAGAAATAAATTCATTCAAATTATGAGTACTTTCACACCATATTCCCAGTTATTGTGTTTTTTAAACTTGCAGATAAGAAACTTTATACAAGCATAACTGGCTTTTTTGTTTGATCAAGCCAATAATTTTTTTTCAGCAAGAACAACGTCTTATTTTTATCCAAATTTTTTTGTGTATTAATTGAAGTCCATATCAGTCATAGTAGAGGAATTTTAATTGAAATGGAGTTTGTATTCGCATCCTACTGGTGTAGAATAACAAACTCACATTGATGATATTAGTAACTGTAGTGCAACACATGCTCACCAGTTTGTGGACTAACTTATCATCCTGTACATGTAATAATTGATAGTTGATAATTATGTGGAACTTTTCAATTGTTAAATCTTTTATCAGGGGACTTTTTTTATTCCTAAATTTTCGACTAGATACAAGCTGCATTGTATATGCTTGCTTATTACCGCCCTATCCTTTGTGCCTAAATGACATGAAAATCAGCAAATAGAAAATCAGTTCTAACTCATATGATTAATAATTTGTACTATTTTGGCTAAAATGAACACTAAAAACATTTAGGAATATATATATATATATAATAGCAAAAATGAATTTTGAATTTGTATGATGGAAATTATTTACTAGTACTTCTCATGACTGTTCAGATTTCCTCTAAGATTTTGGAACTTGGACCATTTAGATATACAAACTAAGCAAATTGGTAAACAATCAAAAGCTTTAGAGTGGGGCCATCCAATAGCTCATTGGTAAGTGTGAAGGCTTATAAAACTAAAAATTGGATTTCAATACCCATGGTGGGCACAGCACAGATAGCCCATTGTGTATTACTTTGCTTAACAACAAAAAAACAAACTTAAGAGTGGGGTAAATCACAATTAAATTTTAACAACAAATTTGCACTTGTACAATACAAGTAATCTGATATCATTGGAATACTGTTCAGATTTTTTTAAAAATGACATAATTTTGTTTTCTTACTTTTTATTGCAAAAACTCAATACATAATTTAGACTGTAAGCCAAAAAATGACCAAAATTTGGCTTTGATATTGAACAAATATGTTTCTCAGTGTCAAAAAAAGATTAAAAACCAAGATTTTTACTGAAATTGAATCATTATATTTTACAACAAATTATATATTTTTGTCTAGTGTTATTAAAGATTAATAAACTTTAATTAAGTATAATATTAGAATAGCAACATGCCATCATTAATACATTTAAGATTTGGTAGTTTGCAAAAATGTGTTAATATTTTTTGTTAATGATGTATAAATTTTCTAAACCCAGAAATGTTATATGTGTTTCTAAAACTTTTTTATATATATTAATGTTGAAGCTTATGAAATATGAATTCTGATTGGTACATTGTGTAGGATGTTGGGGAAAAAAATGTAGATGTATTTCAAAACCCTCACTGGGATCTTGAGCATACAATGTTAATAGGCATAGTGCAAAACTATGGAATGTATACTTTTGAGAAAAATATTTTGAAAAACTTTGTAACATTACCTAAGACTGTATACTTAATAATTTTAGAATAATATTAATTAATTAATGATAAATAATTTGTATTTAAGAAGATAAAAGATATTTTGGAATAGTATTAATTAGTTAATTAATGATGAATAATTTATGTTTAAAAAGATAAAAGATTACGCATTGTGCCATTAGTGTCTTATATTTTCATTTCAGAAGCTATTGTTCGTCGAGCAGAAGTTTTTCAAAAAGTCTGGGACCACATGGACCACACAAAGAGAGAACAGTATGGTCAAAAATATTTTGATGCTATTGTTCAAAAGTATGATTCCTTAGCAGTTACATTTCCACAAGACCTGAGTCCAGTAATACGCTGTGTTAAAAGTGCTTTGTTGTCTAGGAAGCCACGACCTAGATACATCACGGACCGAGGGGCTGAATTCTTGATGTGGTTACATTCTGTCTTACCCACTTGGCTTGGAGATAAGTTAGTGGATACTGTTGACGTGGTTACTCCCAAGTCTATCCGCCCTAAAACACTGATGAGATCAGCAGTGTAAGAATATTTTAGTCTACGTGGCTTGTAATACAGTTGTATCGAATGATCTCTCAAAATTGAATTACATTAATGTGTTTAATTATTATAACCCGATTTAGCTATCTAGTGAAACGATAGAAATGAGATAATTATAACCAACTACCCCACATTGTTCTAACCCTGTAACTAAAACTATTAGTACAAAATATTATCATTTTTAAGAAAATACATAAACAGTAATGCAAGAATGTGGGTTTGCATTAGCTTAGGATGGGAAGAAAATAAAAGTAAATGTGTGTGTGTGTGTATTCTGTTTGTTTTTTTGTTTTGAGACTGTCTTCATCTTCTTTCAACTTTGTAGGCAAATATATTGAACTCCAAAAATATTTTATTCTGCTGTATACTATAGCACAACATTAGCATTGTTTAACCCCCAAAAAAGTCTGCTTTTATCTTGTAGACCAGTGAAATATGAATAGTTTTTAATTTCTGAAACATTTTTATGGATGCTAAGAACTTAATTTACTTCCCTCTGCTGTAGTAGTTTTTTATTACAATAATACTGATAATAAGTTTATTTAATATTTGCTGTTTTAACAAATCTTAAGCTTGACAGTCTAAAATTAAATTTTCTGTGATAACCCTTGTATTTGATTTATCAAAACAATATCTTTTGCATCAACATCAGCATTTGTTTTTCGAACTTAGGTTCATTTTTGTTGTACTTCGAGATTATACCACCCAGTAGTACCCTATTTTAATATTAACTTTCCATTTAAGTCTACCATGTGTATTTTTTGTAAAGTGATCAGAAATATGAAAGTCAAAATAATCACGGGCTTGTAATTTAAGGTTGCGTAAAAATAACATGATGTATGAATTTAAACAAAAAACTACTATTTTTGTACTAGTGGTGAAGTGTAAGCTTTTATTTATTTTCTTTTGTTTTGGGGCAGAATTATAGTTTGATTAAAACTTTATTTCTTCTGTTTTCCACTCAGAGCAGCAAACTGGTTTTCAAAAGGTAAATAAAAGATAATATTTAATGTGCTAATGGATGTAGTGTTTATATCCTCATATAATTTATAATCTATGTTGAAATGAACTTTGCATTTTCATAGATATCACAACAAAAACATTTCCAATGAAAATTTTCTGGATCTCTGAGTTTATCACTTCACACAGGGATCAGTTGCTTAACTAGCAAAATGAAGTTTTGAAAATATAGACATTTAAAAATTTGTTAAAGTTTTACCATGTTCCACATTTTCTATATATATTAGTGTAATGATAAAGATAATTGAACTGTCCATTTAGGGTTAGCGACCAAAATAATCAGCTATTGTAGTGAATCACCACCAGCTGTAGTAACCTGTTATATAATTAATATTTTGCTGTAATGATTTTATATTTTTAAAACCTTTAGCAGATCTTCAATTAACATTTTAGACTGACAATTTATGGTTGTGTAATGTGTTTTATATAAGAACAAATGATATCTATAATAGGTTGGAGATTGATTTTTGTTATTCAACAAATTTTCCTTTAAATGTCACTAACATGTAACCTTTGCTTTGGAATTGTTTATTGTAACCAGTAACATAATTCTTATGTATGCATTTTGCCTAAGTCAAGAGTGAATTCTTATGTGATATGCTTAAAAAAGTTACTAATTTGAGGATGTGTAAAAATAGCAATGTTCGGCTAGTATGAAAACTGGTTTATAATTTTGCATGCTCTGTTTTTTCTTTTATATTTTAAAGATAATGAATAGCATAACACTAGTATTTAATAATTTTAATTTTTAAAAACCTATACATATTTAAGATGCTGTATTAAACCAAATTTTACTAAGCATATTGTACCTTTTGATGACAGAAAAAAATGGACCAAATAAGGCCAGGTCTGGTTGGTAATTAATAAAAAAGCACCATAACATCAGACTTCATTTAATCTTTTTTTAAACAAATGGTGAACTATTATATTGTGTACAAATACTACTTATATTTATAGTTTATTTTAACATTAAATTCTGTCAAAAATAAATTTCAGGTAAATGCAGCTAATGCTTTACTCAATTTATAGATAATTAAAAATTAAGTTCTGTATGTGATTTAAGTATTGTTTTTTTGTGTGCAAACTTTTGATATAATTCTCTTGCTGAATAAATTCATTTTTTCTAATTGTTCTTGTTTGAGTAACTTTATTTGAGACACAAACAAATAAGCTGATTCTCTCCTTCTTGCAGGATTAAGTTCAGAATTTCATAGTATGCCCTGAGAATTAATTGGAAGAAGAACTTGTTTAACAAATATAGAAAGCAAAACAAATGAAATGCATCTGTATGTAGGTTAATATAATTGTATCTGTAAAAGAGAAATTTACTTTCAAAACCCAAATATAAGCTTTGGATTTTATTTAATTTTTTTCAACTGAAGTTTTGTTAAATACATTATTTTGGCTTTTTAATATAAATAATTTGGAAATATTGGGTCATGATAATTCAAACAAGAATTTGAGAATTTTTATAATTAGTTTTTGACCTCTGTTTAATTGTTAAACCCTATTGTATATGTCACTGTGAAAATATTGTATATGATAATTTCTTGTTTTTTTTGCATTTTAAGTAAAAATTCAAAAATATGTTTAATATAGTTAATAGCAATACATTTTGTGGAAATTACAGGGCTGCCCGGCATGGCCAGGTGGATGACTCACAATCTGAGGGTCGCGGGTTCGAATCCGCATCCCACCAAACATGCTCGCCCTTTCAGCCATGGGGGCGTTATAATGTGACGGTCAATCCCACTATTCGTTGGTAAAAGAGTAGCCCAAGAGTTGGCTGTGGGTGGTGATGACTAGCTGCCTTCCCTCTAGTCTTACACTGCTAAATTAGGGACGGTTAGCGCAGATAGCCCTCGTGTAGCTTTGCGTGAAATTCCAAAACAAACAAACAAACAATTACAGGGCTATTTTATGAAATAAACATGTAAATATAAATTTGGGTATTTGTCATAGTTTCCCTAAATATTGAATTTTAATAGAAGGTTACAGATGTTTAGAACATGTGCAGAATATAAAAATCATAAATAATATTCAACATTAAACTGGTACACAATTAAAAACATTTTATTTAGGCCTATCTATGGCCTT